TGGATGATGCCACTGAAGGTTGGTGCCCTTAATTCTGTCAATAGGGCAGATGTAACATAAGTACAGGTGTACATATGGGTACTGTCTTGTGTGGCTATCATTACATAACTCTGACATAACTGTGCAATTCTCACAGCATGCACTCTGGTGTTTTTTTGTAAAACTAATGTGCACGCATAATAATAATAATGTTTGTCATAAGAAATAAGGACAGTTGGATTCATTTTTGATACTTAGTTGATTTATATTGTCGTTTAAAAAAATGGAAAATCATACAATAGAAGCATTACAATTATTTTCATTGAAGCACTGAATACTCAACATTTAGTTTTGAGTGGATATAGCATGGTGTCCTTTAAGGATATAATTACACCCAACTGTAGGCTTTAAGCAAAATGTACTATGGTATGACACTATCTTATACCTCATCACCACTATTGAAATTTCCAATGATAATTGAATGAATGCAATAGCTACAATGAATAAACACTGTCATTCATCTCATATTGAGACTGAGTGAGGAAGAATACTTCTGCTTTCTACTATCAGCATTACAACTTTCTGTTTGTATTAAATGTTTGCCTTAATTTTATTAAATGTTGCACTCTTTGTCATCTCAAACCTATATGTAATTCTATTTATGAATGGTTTAAATTTGGTCTGGAATTGATTGTTGCACAATTTCTAATATCAAAGTACAATGATCTCTTCATTGTGGGAATCTATACTATGTTAGTTTTATTTCCCTGCACAGTAAACTAACCTTCAGTAACTAAATTTGATTTGTTTTGCCCCATTGTTCTAATGTACCTATATATAAACACACTGCCTAAATATTAAATTAAGCTTAAGTGTATAGTGCTCAACTTCAGTGAAAGCAGACAGAATTAAAGGTACAATTTGTTCCAAGGAATTTGATTCGACTAAAATTGTGCTGCATTCTGTTCATTTCCTGCTTTTTGACTTAAAATCTGTCACTTTCTTTCCCAAAGCTTTACATTATTTAAACTACTTTTGTTTGTTATTCTGAGGTTCTTTATTATTTCAATGCATCTAAAGATGTATTATGAACAATGTGTCTTAGTCAAACTTTAACATATCATGCACATATGGATTGATAGGACATGGGTTTGCAACAGTGATTCTTAATAACAATGAGTTCCTGATCTCAGGCCTATCAAGTGGAGACACTGACCAACACATCCCACAGAGAGAGAAACAATATTCGCAGTTTCTCTTTTCCCTCTAGCCTTTTGGTTTTACGTGCTTCCACACTGCAAGCTGCAATGACTGGCACTCGTAGAGGTCAGTTGTCACAGGTCTTGTATTTTCTAACCTTGGCACTGGTCAGATTTATGTGGATCAATTTTATTTCCAGGGGAAAAAAACATCCAAACTGCTACTCATTTTTATTTGCGAACAAAAGCCCTGGAGGCCAAAAACCTCCTTGCTGATTGTGCTTATGGTCACCTCCCCCATCCCTTTCCCCCTGGCTCATTGTCAGACTCCGCCACTGTGAAGCGCTTCAGGAAGCTACCCACGGGAAGGGAGCTATATAAATGCAAGTTGTTGTTGTTATTCAAATCATTGCAAATTGGTTGTGTACCTACACATGTGATTAGGAAACACACATTGCAAAAAGAGAAAGCGATATATGTACCATATATCTTCGCCTGAAGTTATATGGTGACTCATTATACAAATAGCAATGATGTCATTGCCATTCTGATTATTTTGGGCTAGTAAGAGATGCAAACAATAGCGGTTTGAGTGGATCTTTGATTGCCTGCATTAGGTGATATTTTGGGTGTTATTTCACTGTTAATGATTATAATTGTATGTTAAAGGTTATTTTTAGATGCATTATAGAATCATTTTAAGTATAATAACCTGACTAGTGTATTTTTAACTTACTCTCAACTCCGTTAATGGCTGTACTACCCTTTAGCGAAACTGTACTTAGCATTTTAATGCAGGAGGTTGTGAGGTTAGTGGAGGTGCAATTTTTGACATGATAAATTAGTGACCTATAATAGCATTCAGGTAGCAAATTGGGTAGGGTGGAAGATAGATCACAAATTAATCTTTCATTAAAAGATTTACCTTTATTTTATTGTATAACAATTGAGCAGTCATGTAAACAGGAATGTGTAGAAAACAAAGGAACAACAAATCATTATTGTTTTCCCACAAAGCTATTGAATTACAAGTTGCAATGAAAGTGGACACTTAAGCACTTCAGCCTTGTTCTTTTTTCAAGTATCGTTAAATAAGGTTGAAACGGTGCGAGGATATTTTTCCTAGCACAATATTATTTTCTGACTGGAAATACTTTGTACAAATTCAAAATTGATACCGTATGTGAGAGGCAGCTGGTTGTCATGGTAACTGTACTGCAGTTTCTAATTCCTGTACGTGAGTAATGGTAACAGAAAAATGACACTGAAGGCATTAGGGGTGTACTGTTACAATCTGCTTGCATTCTCAATGTCATTTAATTTTATACGTGGCACATCTTGGCATTGATGCTATAAAATCATGCATTTTCCAGGTCGTATTAGAAATATTGACATGCATCTACCGAAGAACAAAATGTGGCTCAAATTTATCTGCTGTACTTAAATAGATTGATGTATTATTTGAAATGAAATAATGAAAAAAAGAAAGTACTTGCAATCCAGATATCTTATTTAAACATTCTATGGCTGAAACTACTTTGTAGGGGAAAAAAAACCTACAGATGTTTCCATCGAAGTGGACAGAAGATTCAAATACAGAATATATGGTAACTATGTGTTTGCAATAAAGATAAAATAATAGTTCCCAGTACACGATAATAATATGAATCAGTCTGCTGCATAAGAGCAGTTTCAGATCATCACATCAAATCGAAAATTTGATTACAGAATCATACTTTTGCAAAATATAAACCAAACATTCTATTAATTATACTATTCTACCTGTTGATATTTGTTTAAAATATTAAAATGTTATAATACAAAGACCCAGTGCATTAAGGAATCAGCATTCCGTTTCCATTCCCTGTGGTGTCTGAGCAGTCGAGAGAAGACATCAAGTAGTTTGTGCATCCGAATCTGATCTCGCAATTCTGAGTATGTGCTGTGTGAATGGCATGCAATGTTCACATTTACATTTTACCAAAATGGGAGGAATATATACTATCCAGTCTTTCAGAAGATTTGTGAGGTCAACTGGCTGGTAAGTAATTTTGCTGCCATCAAAAACAGAAAATCATTGGGGTGCTAATGGTCATGGATTTATTTGTTCAGTTGCCAGATACCTTTTGTAGCATTTGTCCATGGGTTGTTTGAGTATTCTGGCTGAGAAACAGTGCTGGTGTGTCTATTAAACTGACCATGATCCTGTGATTTATAGAACAGGGAGAAGAGCTGTGGTTCTTTGTCAGAATTTGAAAAGACCTAGAACATTTGCTTTCTGAAATTGCTTTGGTTTGCAGCAGCTGAAGTTGGCATTCTGAGAAAGTGGATAAGCCTTATCTGTGACAATTTAAATGACATTTGGGAATAAGCTCTCTTTTGAACTTTAAAAACCTGTTCTATCCATAACATTTTATGATAGACTGGAAGGATGTAGTTAATTGTGTGTCAGTCTCTCGAATGTTCCTACTGATATGGTGTTGACTTAACCCTGTTCATAGAGTTATCTGATTTGAAGTTCTGATTTTGTTGTGCCCTGTTGAATGTAGTTCCAGCTTCCCAAGTAATTCCAGTGATCAATATTTTCTCAGCTTAGTTGCTACTCTGTGCTTGTGTGCCACCCCTTCTTGTTTCAGTCAGAAGGCTGCACAACACTCCTGGGTAGAACCAAATTAATCTCACAAGGCATAGGCTGTAAGTTACAGGTTGCCTAACCTCCTGGTTCCCTTGTGGCTCGCTGAATTTCCTCTGAATTGCAATTAATTAAATGCAAATTTGTTTCACATGTACTTCATTTTAATGGCTTCTGTGGGCAAGGAGTAGATAGGGGGTAGATAGGGCTCAGTACTTACACTGGGTTACACACAATGTCATGCTGGGACACTACAACATTTCTGCATTGCCAGTTTACTAAGTGGCTGTGCCCAATAGTTGCTCCTGATTTTTAATATCAGCATTAATTATATAGGAAAAATTCTGGCTACAAATTAATATATCTGCTGCTGAGCTTTTATCAAATTGCCATTCCGATTTGGTCAAAGAAAGAAATTTCACGTAAGAGACAGCAACTGCTGACTGAATATGTATTTTATATGTAGAAAATGATTCTTTAGTTTGATGTTTTTGCTTTTAAGGATATCATAAATTAAAAAAAGCGCAATGATTCTTGGCTGATGTAAATATTTCATTAGTTCCCTAATGATGGTACATTGTGCAGAACTCTTGGCTTTTGTCTCTGATGTGCCATTTATTGTTAATTATTGTGTCAGGTAGCATTCCCAAATCAATATTTTTTTTAATTTGGAGGAAATCTCAGAACTGCGTACTGCTTACATGAAGGGAATCTGAAATCAACCAATTCAGATGAAGTTCATTCTCTGTTCAGTTTGATTAGATATATTGTATTATAAGCATTATTTCATAGAAAAAGAGAAAACCATTTTAGAAAAACAACCTTTTAGAATTTTTTTTTGTATGTGCGTTGTCTGATTCTGTTGTAAGTGAAGAGTAAAAACCTGGTAGGTTGTCTCTTTAAATAAGATCTGCAGTGTTGATGTAACCCTCGAGCATGGATGGTAGGAACCATTCTCACCTCTGCAGCAGGGAGCTTGACCAAAAAGGCTCTGTCAGGCAATGGAAATTCGCTGTTTGTTAAAATGCACTGAATTATACCAATTCCCTTGGTTATGACTCCTTTTTTGGTAGCTTCCAGTGTGTCGATAAAGGAGACAGTTAATATGTCAAGCTGCAAAGGAAAATATTGAAAACAACAGTCTTGTGACTCACGTTTGTCTTGCTCTCTTCTTTGCTTTAATTCTACAGAATACTGTAGCAGTGGCATCAGTTCAGTTGCCACCAGCAATTTTTACTCATTTCCCAACCTTACACACTGTTGACAACTCATCTTGCAAGCTACAGTTTATTGTATTCCGGAATGGAAAACTCTTTCCCAGGACAGGTAACTCGTCAAACCTCGCTGATGATGGGAAACGCAAGTGTGTTTCGACTCCTGTTGTCTTTATTAAAATAGGTAAGATTTTACTTGTATTTTAAAGACAAATTGTTAACTCTTTCTCGTGGTTCAAATGATACGCATTAGCTTGACAAAATTGCTGTTTAAATGCATGTACTAGAGATTTTAGTTTGCTTTGAGACACATGAAAATGAAAAAAATCTAAATCAGTTTTTATATTTGGTGCAGGTTACCTTTCAGATATTTGCAAACTACAGCATGAGGCTAAAATTATGGTGGTTGTGTTATTCACCTTGAATTTATTGCTATGTGCGTATGTTACAGGGTGATTTTTAGCTGATAGCTGCTTCATAGTTTCCAATGTCAGTTTCTATCTGTATCAATGATTGCATTTGGCAAAGAACAATTTATTGAAACATCCTGTCCAAGCTGAAAGATTTCTGGTATTTATGTCTGCCATTTAGGCAGTACTTTAAAATGCAACAGAATACATGAATACAATCAAAGTAAGAACATGCATTTCTGAAAATGATGGTTGGGCTCTATTTTTAATCTTCACGTTTTTTGTAAAGGTTTTTTTTGGAGGGTGGGGGAGAGGGAAAGATTTTTAGCATGCTCAACCACATCCAGAATACAGTAGTGATCTCAATCTCCGTATGTGATAGCTATCTAACATGCAATGAGATATATTGAGGATTATATCAATTATGTAAAGTTTTGAAGAGGAGATGCTGAAACATTAGCACTTTTATATTACAAACAGTTTAATAGCCTTTTTTTCTGTGTGGCACATTTGAATAAAATACTTTGGAAAAGTCAGAGTTGAACAGGTTTAAGTCAAGTTTAATTATATTATGTAAGTTTTTCATGTGAATATTTCAGCAGACAAGCTATTTTTATTTAACTTGTGCCTTTCGCAGTTTTACACATTCTAGATCTGTGTACACAGCATTCAGCCATCAGATTTTCCACTCCATTTACCTAATGCAATTTGTTTCTGCAGATGGGTGCAGCTTTGTGAACCTCACTAAACCCATCACTATTGTTCTGAGGCACTTTGCACTTGGTGCAGATCCCACTGCAGCATTTTGGGATTTTGACCTTTTGGATGGTTGGTGTGCTAATGGGTGCCACCTAACAGGTTCTGCAAGCAATATTACTACCATTCAATGTATGCGCTTCAGTAACTTTGCAGTACTAATGGTGAGTATGTTCCTGTGCATTGAATAGAAAGTTGTCCTATTTTTGCAAATCAAAACCACTTAGTTACCATTCATTTTATTGCATTTAACTTATATTTGATAAAAAACAGGCCAGCCCATTCCACAAAAAAAATGATTTCAACCACAGTTATAGTAGCATTAAGTATAAAGAATTCAATGTAATATTTTGTAGACTGTATGATTCCTTTATTTTGATTCCTTTATAATGATTTCAGTGTGGCATCATAAACTGTAATTTATGAAGTGAGATGCAGTAAAAATAATAGGATCATCTGATTTATTCAAAAGTCTGTTATATGGTTTGATATATAATATTTAATACTATATTCCTGAAAGATTTTCTGATTCAGCATTTAAATTCTACTGCACAAATTATTTTAATCAGGCAGGAGATAGACACAGTTGAATAGAATAATTGTATATGAGAAAGGCAGACAAGAATGTTGTGCTCTTTTAGACAAGGACATTTGGTCTTCATTTTCCACAGCAGTAGTTACCCTTTTTATTGTAATCCAATGCTTGGGCTTACAATGTGTTTACTGATTTCACTGCCTATAATTTATATTTGCCACCATACAATTTGTATTGAAGTGTGGCTAAAATGTCACTATCATATTGTAGTTCATTTTAATAGCTTTGCATCTTACTTGGTACTCATTCATTTCTGTTCCGATTTGTGTTCACAATAACAATCATATACAATGTATAGCAGACATTAAAAAATTAGCAACAAGTCTGTGAAGGAAAAAGAACAGGCATGACAAATCTATGAAATAGAGTATGTGGTGAGATCATTATCCTTGACATTTACTTATCACTCTTTTACACAATTTGGAAATATTGGATTTAAAAGTGCATTATCACCCCAGACAAGAATTGTCTGATAGATGAAATTAAGCATTAAATCCTATATTTAAGCTAAAATCTATTGTGTTGCACATTTATTAGTTCATTGTTTCAAAAGAATTACACCCACATAAATAGGTTCAAGATGTTTACATTTCGAAAGGTTTGTAATTGAGTAAATGTCAATGTACTGGTATGTATTTGTAAAGGCCAGCTGTACAAATGACTGTGGAATAGAGGATAAATGTGTGAAGAATACTAATCTGCTGTCAAATGGAGCACAGATGTTGGCCAATCATAGCATGGGTTTGTGACAGTTCTATGATCTAATGTGATTATTATCACTCACCAAGGCATAAGTCTTTGAAAATATGTTGAGTTTTTTTTAAAAAAAAGCTTTTGGACTTCATCCAAAAAGGTAAACCTTGGGAATATAAAGCTAAACAGTTGTGTTGAGTTTATTTTTTTCTGAAACTAATGTAAAAATACTTGATAAGCAATTAATTTCAGTCATATTGTCCCAAACAAATTATAGATCAGTATGAGATATTCGTGCAATTCATATTTACAAGTTCATAGATATTGCAGATTAATTAAATTCTGAGTTTAACCAGAAAAACTGAAGTCAAGCAGGTTTTAATAGCTTATCGGGTATTAGAACTGTTAATGGAGTAAGATTTAAATTCCTCCAATTACTTGGAGGAAATTTCACTTCTATTTTTTGGAGAATTTTGCAGAATCATATCAATATTGTATTGAGCTGAGGATCTATTTTCACAAAATCAATTATTTATTAATAACAGTGTCAGACTGTAAAGCAAATAATTAAGTAACAAAGCATTCAAATAAATTATTTCAATTGGAGCACATTTACACTATAATATATTCTCAGAAATTCAGCAATGTAGAAAAATAGTCACATAAACAGTATCTACGCTGTTACCTGTATCAGATCTAGCAATTCATTGCTCTAATTTGATTCTGAACCACCTCATTTACAGTCAGCTCCTCAGCAAGCCGCTCAGACAATGTCTATGTTTGATTGCAGTAAAAGACAGAAAGTGAAATTTCTGCAGCACATTATTGCACCAAAATGGAAAGATGTTATTCTGACGCTGTGCTTGGAATTGAAAGAGCTTGTGCTGGATTTATTGTGGTGTAAAACCACTGCTGAACTCTTTTCTCCATAGGTAGTGTTTGAATCAATTTTAAACAGGTCGCAGGGTAAAATATTTATCAGGATTTACACTAGAGACCTGAAAATCTATATTGGGTGAAATCTGTAGTGTAAATAAGATCTTACAATGTTATACTTGCTGAATGGTAATAGTATTTCCGTTATCAATGATTATAATTGGCACCAAATTATAACGAAGAGCATGTAGAGAGCCGGAATTGACTCTGTGTGTATTTGTGTGCGTGAAAAACACATGTTACTGCCTTAGAGCAGTTGTAACACTATTTGCTTTCATTTTTGCAATGGCTTGTGTGGTCGGGGTTCTATTTCAGAATGGTGGAATTGCGTGGGAGGCCTTTAATTACACCCCTGCATAACAACATAGCAACAGCCATAATAACGGAGTCACTACATTATTATTCATGCATGTTGTCACTGGATGTTTGGTAGAAATAGATAAATAAATTATAGAATCTTCTATGTATCCATTTTAGTTAACCTAATCGGTTGAAATGAGGGGAGATTGTTCTTTCGCTGAAAATGAAATTATTTGTCTTGCCTCCCTCGTAATGTAAGCTCCAGTGAAATACAATAAGTCAAGCATTGTTTACAATAGTTTTTAATTAACCCAAGATGTAAAAGTATTGAAATGCATCAAAATGTACTTTGCAATACGGCAATAAATCATTCCTTTGTATTCGGTCTTTTCTGTACTGTAAACAATAATGATCTTGGTAAATGTTAACAAATATAATTTCATGCAAATGATAACAGTGGCACGTAAGCAGTGTCCATGTTCAATGTTGCATCATTAATTTAAAATTAAGAGGTTTGCAGTGACATATCTTGTATTGTTGCAAGATTAGAAGACATTGTTTATCCCTCATAGAAGAGTAGATCTGTGGAACAGACTCCCAACAAAAGCAATTGATGCTGAGTCAATGAAAACATTAAAAAATATCTGGATCTGTTTAGAATAGGATTGGAGGATAAAAGGACAGGATAAGATGGACAAATACTCCAAGGGATACAATGATTTATGTTCTTCTGGTCTGGAGTAGGTGATTGTTCCATCTGAAAGCAAGGGTGCCACAGTTCAATAGACGAGATGTGGGAATGGATAAATATTCTTAAACATGTTTACCTTCGAGGCACTGGGAGTATCTATGCAATATCTCCCTCCTGTGCATAGAATAAATGGTCTAAGAGAGAGTATATGTTTGAATCGAAGCAGAGCTTGTTGAACTGAAGGGCCTTGCTCAAATCTTTGTTACGTTCTTATGCTACTGAAACATTGGAGTCATAATGTGCGCTCCAAAAACTTATTGTTGATTTTTGGAAGATCTGTAAAATCGAAAGCACCATGTAAGAGAGAATAAATAAGGACGGAGACGTACTGCGGTTAAGAATAAAAAAGAACAGACTTATGTATAGGCACTACTGATGAGGTGAAGCAATATCACTTACAGAAGTAGAACAATTAGGAGTGGGAACCTGAGGTTTATTTCCTGCTTAGAATCACATTGGCTGGGGCTATGCTCCAATAGTGCATGCATTAGTAATGTTGCTCCAATAATGGATTTCAGTACTTAATGTCGTTAAAAGATCCAATCCTACAATCAGTTGTTTAATAACATTGAAAACTGGTCCCTTAAGAACTTTTAAGGGATTACTTCTAAGTGGAGTCCAAATTGATTTACGTACCAAAATTTACACTGCAGCAATAAGACATGATGTTCTGACAAGACTACCCTACTCAATCCCAAATTATACTGCACTTTTCAGCCAATTCACCAAAGAATCACAATAGAGACAGAAGAATATGAGAGCCAAAGCAAGAATGAGTGACTGAAAGCCCTCGAGGAAATTTTAAAAAGGAAAAAGAATAAATAGACCTGGGGAAATAGACAAAATCTATTAGGAATCAAGTTCGGGGAGAGATAAAGCAATGCAAAGGATTAGAAATATATGGAAATCATGTCAGAGCTGATAAGGTACTCAAATAGCCTTCCAGATACACACACAACATTATATTTGTAATATACAAAACAACTACATAAAACTTTTTGTCTCATGTTTGTCCACACTGCTAGAATTTTTATGGAGGATATCAACTTTAGCTTTCTATGGAGGAAAGGAAAATACTAGAAATATGCAAACATGGTTATAAACAGTTTAGATGTTGTTAATTAAACAACAGATTGAGTAATTAGACAATGACAAGCTTCAAAATAAGTATAGTATGGATAGTTATTAGTAAAGCTTTCAATCACATTTTTTAAAAAAACATTAGATTCAAAAGAGATGCTCGAGGAGTGGAATATAGCATATACATATATAGTCATTTTGTTGTTTAAGCTTGAAAACCATGAACCTATTTAATTTAAAATTATTTGTTTCTATCACACATTGATAATCGTTCCATAAATAGCTTCTATGGCAGATAAAACATCTGTCTTATACCACTGCTAGTAATTTTGCATGTGCCATATCACTAAGTATGTGAACCTACCTTGTTGGGCTAATAGCTAAGGTAAAGGCATTCCTGAAGCCAAATAGAGCAGAAGGTTGAAATTCCAGTCTTTGCTTCGTTCACTGATCTCCGTCAGCCCAGCAGTTGGAAGATTATAATGGATAAGCTTCCTTTGGTAATGGAGAAGTACACTTGTCAGGGTTCCTTCTCCTGATCGCTTTTCAATGACCCCTGTTGGAAGTGTAGGGTATACATGGATGACGATGATATGATCAAATAGCCACCTGGCATTCATTTACTAGGATCTAAGTTATGAGATAACACATGTATACAAAGAAATTACAGGTTTTCTTTACATGAATTAATTTGGAATCCGTAGATTCCATACATGGTTAACTCAGCCACCAAAATTGCACATGAGTTAGCCCAACCCACAGATTGGACCCTACTGTCAAGAAGAAAATAAAGGGAGAAGAAAATTGAC